TACGTATTTTGACTCAAACCATCTTTTTTCCTAACTCCTGCTGGGTTGGGATAAAGCAAGACCTTGTTAGTGTCAAGAAAGTACTTAGTAAGGTCAATGTGTGACAGTGTCAATAACATTTTAAAAGCACAATTTGTCACAGCTAATGGCAATATGGATAATCTGTCTGAGAATGTCCTAGAGTTGGCAATTATTGTACTATATAGCTCTGTGAATTGTGATCAAACAGATAGATGTTTGTATAGTTTTCAAAGCTGGTGAGTTACAGTAAATAAAAGGTTCTAGCATTTTCCCAGGAATTTTGTGAAGATATTTTATGTTTAAATATTTTCCCCTCTATCACTTAAGAAACTGAATGCAATTTCTTTTTGTAGTAGTATATCTCGTCAATAAAATTTGAAACATTTAATGACTATTCACCCATTATATTTTAAACATTTTATTGGCAGCAGTTAGGGGTTACAAAGAAAACCCTAAGCAAATACAGAGCCATATCTTGAGGAAGCTTGAAATTTATTTTGTGATATTTCACTCTCTATACCACACCCCACACCCCAGGATGAAGACAATAGAACCCTGTGACTAAAGAATGTAGGTGATTATTATACAAAGAATGTATCCTATTATGGTAAAAGAAGGATTATAATGTTATAGAAAAATTGATAGTAATTCAGTTTAGTATAGTTATGCATGGCAGAAATTATTGGATGCTTTCTCATATGTGCAAAGTTGGTGGTTTTTATCTACATGTTTATGCATTTGTTAAATGGGTTATATAGATATCATGTAAAAATCTCCATATAATATAGGGAGATCATTTAATAACATTGCAAATACAGAAACTTTTTTTACTGCTTAAAAATCATAATCGTAGTTCTAGCCTAGTATGTTTATCAATAATGGAGAAAATTCAGACTTCCTATTATTTTTGAATTTTAGTTCTCATGGAAGCTGAATTTAAATCAAATAAATATGGCAGATCATTTTGAACCTTAGATACATTATAAAGAAACTAAGCAACAGATGAAATCTGGCTAGTGGACTCTGTGATTTCTATTTAAAGGCACTTGTTTTCTTTCCAGTACAGGGAAAAATGCTATTCAGCAATGCCTGATTTGTGCATTATAGTGTGGTAGAAAGATTCTACCTAAAAGATTCTACCTAAAAGACTAAAAGTCATGAGGCCTGAGTTCAAATCCAATCTTTGTGTTTTATTATTAGCTATACAGTCTTGGGCAAATCATCTAATCTTCCTAGGTTTTCAGTTTCCTTATCTTTAAATGAGGATATCGGACCAGAGTATTTTATGTTCTTTCTAGCTTTCAAATCCCGTAATCCTTTATTTTCTATCTCTGGAGTTGGAGTTTTGTTTTTTGAAAGTAGATTGATTTTTCTTTGTAAGAGGACAATATCGTTCAATCATGCTCTTAAAGATTTATATACTTGGAAGTCGAACAATGCCAATTTTGAAAGTTCCACTATTCAGAAATGAGTTTTATACTGCTTTGGAGCTTAGGTTTTAGATATTAGGCCAGAATCCTTTTTAAAGTGTCCAGTGCAGTGCTATTGAGTCAAACTTTCTGCAGTCTCCTATATCCGTGCTGTCCAATATGGGAGCCACTAGCCACATGTGGCTGTTCAACACTTGAACTGTAACTAATGAAACTGAGCAACAGCATTTTAAATTTTATTTAATTATAATTAAGCTAAATTTAAATTGTAGTCAGTGGCTCTGTATTGAACAGCATGCTCGTGTGTGTGTGTGTGTGTGTATGTGATGTGTGTATTTGTGTGCACATCTATGCTGAATAGGGAGTTGAGGGAGTAGGGTGGCAGGAAGTAAAGGAGAGTGAGAGGCCATTGTTTTGGATGATGGGATGCTGTCCATAGGTCACTGTTCAGGATATATATAAAGTGGAATGTAACACATTCCAGAAACCATTTTCTATCTCCCTTCCTCCCTTCCCCCCTCCCTCTCTCCCTCTCTCTCTTCCTCTCTCTTCCTTTTCTTTCTTTCTTTCTTTCTTTCTTTCTTTCTTTCTTTCTTTCTTTTCTTTCTTTCTTTCTTTCTTTCTTTCTTTTTTTCTTTCTTTCTTCCTTTCACATTCCATTATGTATTATGATAACCACTTTATTTTTATTGAGGTATACTTGATAACCATAAGATAACCATTTTATATACTAGACAGCATATTAAAATAATTATATGTTTTTCTAATTAACCTATAGTTTCAAAGTTAGGTACTCCCAATATTTTAAACATGATGCACTAGTTAAATTTTATTATCTTACCCATCCTTAAAATATTTTGTTGTGTTAATCTAGGAATGGAGTCTATGAGGCATCTGGAATGTGCTGGAAATTATACTGTATTTGGAGTAAAGTGATATGTTTAGAATCATGAATTTCCTCCTTGCTGTGTCACCTTGTATAAGTTATTTATCTGCTTTGAGCCTCAGCTTCATCATCTGTGAAATAAGGATAATAGTAACACTTATCTCATGGTTTTTGTGAGGGTGAGATTAGATGGTGAATTATGTAAAGCTCCTAAGTTGGTAACAAAAACTAATACAATATATTAATGATGATAATAGTTTGGAGGTTTGTATTTAGCTATGAATTCAGAATCCACACAATGGGTATTTCATATATATAATTAAATAATAATATACTCTACCCTATAAACTAATTACATTTTAAAAATTTAACTTTGTAAATAGTGACAATTGGATTGATTTTGTTCCTATCCTCTGAAAAGGGCAGTCATTGTGTAGTAGTATAAAGGAATGGAGATAATTAAGATGAGTTTTTTTGTTCTCCACATTCATACAATGTAAATATTCCTATTAAAGAGCATTGCTTTAGCAGATTATGTTGGAAAATGACATGATAGTATGAATATTCATCTTATGCTATTTGTAAGTAATTAAATATCTTTAAGAATTTGATAAACAGTAAATAGTACATTGATAAACCAGTGCTGTTACCTGTTTAAACTACTGACTTCAAAGTGTGTGCTATTTTTTACTATAGTCAATGGATGTAACTTCTTTTTTTAGCATTTAGTTATATATCATACATTGTGCGTTAAATGAGTATTTAAAAGCATTGCAACATTTATATTATTAAATGTAAAATTATTTTGATGTTACATTCATTAATTTTTTTGGCTTTTACTATTTTTATAATTTCCTGATCCAAATACTTTTATTGTATAAAGGTACAATTCCAAGACTCATTAACTTGTTTCTTATGGAAATGTTCTCTTTGCTTGTAGGGTATTAATACAAGCCATTAAGCTAGAATTTCTTCTGGCAAAAACAATCCTAGCAGATGGCAACTTTTCTCTCTATTAATTTTGGATTGGACATGTATTTTGGCTTGTTCGGTCAGGTCAAAGTTGTAACATAACAAGAATCATTCATGCAAATACAGTCATAATATACCTATGGACTCATACACTATGCAAACTTATATTCCAGCCTACTGAAACTATATGAATACTTAAACATTTTCTTACTGTAAACAGGAAGGTTAAGTAACCCATTAAGGCATAAGCATCATAATAACTTATCTGATATGACTTTTGAGGTAATGCCAAGTCAATGGCAAATATTTAGTCAGATGTCTAAGTGATTTAGCTTGACATTTGAGCATTCATAAGAATTGGACTGAATTGTTCAATTATCATTTAGATAGCTAGTAATGTTAGAGACAACCTCAATAATCCCTTTTAATGCATGCAACTTATGATTTTTGAACCTGGATGTGAGCTAGATAGGCTAATCTCCCCCAAAACAGCTTAAATGCATAAGATAAAGATATAACAATAAAAGCAATATAGCTTTTAATATTTGTCTCTACTTGAAAAAAATCACTATCATAATAACAGGTCTGGATGTGGTCAAGTCAAAATACATTTGAAATATTTTTCTTTTGCTGATGTGTTTTTCCATACTAACTATTGATTTATTTGTGCCCCTTTCTATATATACTTAACATATTTACTAAATCTGGTATTTTACAGTGGTCCCCTTGCAGTCAGCTCTTTGAACACTAGACTCATTGCGTACTTTAAAAATAATAAATTTCAATGTGCAGCTCTTAAACTATTAGCCAATTGCCTTAGACGTGAGCAGCATTTTCCAAAAATGAGGAATAATCTTTGGAACACTTGGCAGTTAGCATTTGGTTGACACTCTCCTAGCTTGCAATTACCGGAAAATAACTCCCTCCTCTTTTATAATAGGGAACCTCAATAACAGAAGAAAACCAAAACCCATTTTCCAGCATCAGTCTAAGTAATGAATCACCTTTACTTGAAAACAAGCTCTTATATTTACTTTACCATGCAATGCACATTAGTATTTGTGTCATAGTGCCTTCTAGTTGATCTTAATTCACTTGCATTTATTTTTTTATATAGTAAATTAATTCATCTTATTCATATAGTTTACTACTCTATATTTTGTGCAAATCTATCCAATAATAGAATGGAGAGAGTGTAACTCAGTGTAATAATATCTCTAAGTTATCACTGTTCCCTGTTTAACATCAGGGTACTTTTATAGCTTTGTTTGAGTTATTTTAGAAAAGTGTTTATAACCATATAGAATTGAGGCCAAGCGCCCTCTGAGGACAGCTGGATATGAAAGATACATTTCATGATCTTTTTAAAGGGCTCTATATCCACACTGTTGGAACTTGGAGTTTCTCAGAGAAAGTTTAATATTCCTTCATATTGTTTAGCAAAGCATAGCAGTACTTGACCAACCATCATATCTTCGTTAGAATTTCTCTGGACATTAGAAACTCTATTGTTATTTTTTTTGTTTCTACTGTAAAGTCATAATCATTATACTTATATAAACATTTGCATTTCTTGATGTATTTCATAATATATGTATGTATTCCTTTAGTAAATGGAAAAAAATTCTGAATGCATTATTTCTTTAATTTAAAAAAACTTGTTTTTAACAAAGTTTACTTTCTAATTGCAGGTGGCCTGCATGCAGTTTATAAATGCCCTTGTCACATCTCCTTATGAGCTTGATTTTCGAATACATTTAAGGAATGAATTCCTTCGTTCAGGACTAAAAACAATGTTACCAGTAAGTGGAATGTGCACATTTATTATGCTTATGAACTTTAATGTTTTTCTCTCTTTAGACAAAAGTACTTTCAGCAAAGTAAATAAATGTGCCTTGCCGTTTCCTTTTGTAAAGTACTGGACATTTTGTAAGCTTTTTGATATTGCAGTAGTGTTAGTCTCTACATAAAACTGATGATTTGGAATTCAGCTAATGATATGTCCAGAAGTGATGGCTTTTTTGGTCTTCTTGAAGTCGAAAGGGAACTTTTCTTTGACTTTGAGTACTGAGAACATAAAAGACTGCTATTTTTTTGCCATTTCAATTTTTCATTAAAATTTTTTGCTTTCCTCTTTGATAACTTAGATTGATTTCCTTTATATTCAGCATAAGTATGCATAAAATTTTGATTAGTATATTCTAGACACATAACATAAGGATGGTATTCTTGTTATAAATCCGTAGCATCTTTTCTAAAGAAAAACAATTTTATTTCTTAAATTGAGTGTGGATATCTGTGCTAATTGTGATACTGTTAAAAACATTTTTGAAATAACGTTATAGACTTGTTCTAAGATAAATGAGCACACTTATTTTATAAATAGAAATACAACTACCATGACTTTATACTTTGCTTAGTATGTTAACTAAAGAAGGATTTTGTTCAAGACCATGGCATTTTTAAAGGAGACAAGTAAAATCTCACTAGTTTCTTTATTTAAACTACTTAGACCATACCTGATAAACAAGAAGTAAATGTAGGGGTGGGGAATAAAAGGACTGAGGAAAGAAAAAACAAAATAAAACAAATGTCAATGAGCATGTATATAAGGTATTCCTAGGGTATTAGAAATAGCAAAATCAGGGATATTTCCTGGTGAGGGACTAGTGTGTAGCATGCGTCTGTAACTTGTCTTCTGATAGTCTTAACTGAAAGTGGTTGAAACTCATCATCATAAAATATACAATTGGGTCTATTGAAACCCATTTTAATAAGATATATGATTGGGTCTGTGAGGTTTTAGAAATTTCTATGTCAATTCCACTTTGAATGGTTCTTTCATCCATGACTTTAAAAAGCAAGGAATTGGTTGCAGTGAATCAAAGCATCATCATAAGTGACCCGAATAGAGGTTCAATATGCAGTTAACTTAGGCACATTCACTAGTTATAGTGTATGTAACACACATTCTTTTTTTGTCACAAATCTCTCCTCATGAAAAGTCTGTGGTCTTATGTAGCTAGAGGTAATATTACAGTCCTCATTCTAGTGTGCTTTTGAATTGCCTACTCAGTGTTTCCATCCTTGTCCTCTCGGAGCTGGTCCTCTGTTTCTGGGAGAGTAATCATGTCTTTGGACACTTGTTTGCCTCAGGGGCTCCTGAAGATCCTCTACTCGTTTACTAATATGCCATGTTTTTCTGCCTTAGTTACTGCTGTCTATTCCAGCTTTCATTTCCCTGTGTCTATTTATAATTAAACATTCGCTTTCTACCGTATGCTACTGAATGGCTGGTCAAGAAAACTGTGACTCTCAATTTATTTAAGTCCTCATCTTTTCAGAAAGGGTATGCACAGTAGCTCTTGTCCTTACCTTTTGCATGTTTGCCAGGGTGTGCTCATTTCTGCTGGGTTCAGTGGTCTCATGGTATTTTTCCTTTGGTTACATTGACAGCTAAGATTTTGCATCAGTGTTTCTTAGCTACACTTTCGCATTGGCCCTATAGCTGTATATAAAGCCCCTTGCGGTACCCTGTACCTCTTAACTTATGCTTCCAGCTAGATTTTTCTTTAACTATCACATCTCTTCAGTATGCCCTGATTCTTAGATCTCAGGGATCCTTCAGCAAGAGGAAAGTGAGAAGTGTCATGTTTCTGCCTCTTAAAGTTTTGGAATAGAACCTACAAGGATTCTCAATTTCTTTTTCTTCCTGTGACAATGGAGTGAAATATGGCTAAATAGGGCTCTGGTTCTCAAGAAGTTGGGCATGTCCCCCTAAAGAGAGTCTATCAAAATCTTATTGGGGGTAGGGCAGAGATGTTTGGTTTGAAAGAAAATAATCCTCCCCAGGTATTTCTGATATACAATATGAGAATCAGAATCTAGGCAGACAGACCCTGAGATTAGAGGTCCTTCCCTTAATACCATACATTTCACTACTGTTGCTGTTGTCCTTGTAGTTTTATTATCACAATTTGGAGCAAAAGTCAGAATGGTCATGCTTTAATGTATACTAGATGTACCTAACATGTCAACTGCTGTCTAGCTATCTAATTTACTAAATATTTACATTTCAACCACTAGAATTTATAGTAATATCAAACATCTTTTACACATGCATGGGAACCTAATAATATATTCATAGATGAGTCTTTAATATCCTGGCTTTTATCCTATTTACTCTTATGTTATACATTGTTCTAACAGGAGGAGCTTCCTAATTTTCTGGAATATATCATATTCAAAGCAGCAAATTAGACGTGGCTAGGGCTAATATAAATTGTTGATACATGGATCAAAAATTATAAATATCTGGAATCATTAGGTGTTGGGGAAGAATAGTTCTTAATAGTTCTTAGTATTTCAGTAATCCATGAGACCATCATTGTAGTAGAGTGAAACTTTTGTTTCATATAATTATTAGAATCCTCAAGACAAGGACAGTTATTTTAATTACATTCTGTAGAAATTTATTTTCAAAATTTGCCCTGTCTCTATAGATAAATTATGATGTTTAAAGAGAGTTTATATTTCACTTACATGGAAAATTTACTTTTTATAAATTTGCTTTAGTAATTTGGGACAAATGAATTATTAAACACTATATAGTGATTTTTAAAATAGTATTTTCTCTGTAGTTAACTTACATTGATTTCTTGTGAAGTTTTCTCCATCTGCCTTTTAGTTAGTTAAATAAATTAAGAAAATATTAGATAAGTCAGATATGTGAAGGAACAAGATAGTAAGAAATTGTGTCTGTAGGCAGCAGGCATTCTTAACTTCTTTTAAAAGACCGACAAACCCTTTCTTACTCTTTTGAAGAATCAATTTTGATTGCTTGACTGGTAATCAGTCATGTGCTGGTAATGGACTTTGATTTCCTTTGAAGTACACCATATTATAGAGACTTAATTATATGTTTTAGAGAATCTGCTGAAAATATTCCGTATCTGTACAGCAAATCTGTTTAAAAAATAACTGAAACATATTTACAGTATTTCACGTAATTATTAGTAGTGTAATTCAGTAATTTTATGCCATTCTTCATTTAAAATACAAACTTCAGTGATGCATTTCCCTTTTTTCAATGGGGTATCTGTCACATTTGTGCTATATGAAACTTTTATTAATTCATTAAATGTTTATTTTATCAAAATTTTTGAATATACCTTTCAAGGTTTGACATTTGAATGAAAGGAAGTTTTTATATATGTGTGTGTATGTAGATATGCATATATATTTTAATGGAGCATTATTAATGAACACTATGAGATATTTCATTTATACATATCTATATTTTTATATTGTGCTGTACATGTTCACATACTATATATCTTATATAAATAATGTGTTGTCCTAATTAAAAACTGAAATAAATATTTAACCAGTTATTTTCACTGAAAATATTTTAATCATGAAGGTTGAGTCCATGTTTTGTAAAGTTCTGATGCTGATTAAATGACAGTATTTAATTAACTTGTTTTTTCTATTTTTCAAACATATTTGAATGTGTTAAAGTCTGATAGTGAACATCTAAGAAAGAATATCTTATAACATAAGAATAAGGAAAAAATCCATATTATAAAATGTATTAAAGGTTTTTTTTTTTTGAGAGAATGAAAGTGTATTCTTATCAGCTCCTTACATTACCCATGAAGTTTTTTTTTTTTTAACATCTTTATTGAAGTATAATTGCTTTACAATGGTGTGTTAGTTTCTGCTTTATAACAGAGTGAATCAGCTATACATATACATATGTTCCCACATCTCTTCCTTCTTGCGTCTCCCTCCCTCCCACCCTTCCTATCCCACGTATTAAAGGTTTTTTCTGCAATGACCAGCATATTGGGTGTGTCTGGCTCCTGCTCTTTCCTGAATTGAGTTCATAAATCACCTGATAATATAACTCACCAATGTTAGATAACTTTAATTCCAATAAATTTCTTCATTCCCTTTCAAAGTGGAAAGTTAGACCTAAAACAAATTATTACTCAAGAGGAAACTAAGTTTAAATACATGTATTTGTTATGTATTTTATATGCAATTATATAGAAACATATTAATATTTTCATATGCTCTGTAGGTAAATTATTATGTATGTGAACGTTAGAAAAAGAACACCTAGAAATTGCATAAATTTGTGTTTGGCTTCAGTAATAGCGGTTGCATCTCCATTTAAAATCGTCCTATTGAACAAAAATAGAAACAAAAAAATGGATCCGAGTTTGTTTAATCGACCTAATTTGAAGTACACCGTGCTTGCATTTCCTTTTAGAGTTCAAGCTCAGCTCTGAACATCCTAGTCTCTCTTTCGGTATCACCCTTGAGCATCCACAGTTGTGATTATCGATTTGGGTTTTGAAAGCGGCAACTTAATGGACACATATTAAAAGATATTCCAGGTGATATATATTAAGCCCAACAATCTCTAGTGTGGCATGCTTCCAAAGATTTTGTTTATACTATGATTTTGAAAATTATCAGAGGTTTGTAATGCATGTGCTTATAATGTATTACAAAAACAGGTCTCTTTGATGCCCAAGTTGGTATTTTGTGATTCGGCTAAGCAAAAATAAAAGGTGGGGGAGGAAGCTAGTTGTGCATCTTGATTAAAAAGTCCTGACGCCTTTTTGCTTTAAAATCACAAAATGTCATTTAAAGTAAATTTGTTTTTACAACTTTCCACGCCATACTTGGGACTGTTGTCCTTGAATATATCCTTGCATTTGTTCTTCATTAATACAATTGATCTATATTCGCATTTTTTGCCAGAGGCATATGTGAATATTCTAACTGCATGAGTTCTTTTGCGATCTTTGATTAGTGTGTTTAGTCAAAACGACAGCATTTAATGTGGGTTTGTAGCAATTAGTTTTTTTCCCTTGCGAAAGTGATCGTTAATTTTTTAATGTGAATCGTCAAAATTTGGAGCATGAAAAGAAATGCGGTGAATGTAATGAGGTTCTTTCATTTTAAAATAGAAAAACAGAGTACGTTTACTTTCTTTCAGGAAACCAAGTGCCTGGGTCAGTATTTGAAATTGCTTCTGTGTACGTAGATGAATAATAGTGTCAGGCCTTTATTGCCAAAGTATGGGGTTGTCAAACTGTTACTCGTCTGTTAAGTTTTCTGTTTATATATTAGGATCTGAAAGAAAAAGAGAATGACGAGCTTGATATTCAGTTGAAAGTATTTGATGAGAACAAAGAGGACGACCTAACTGAATTATCACACCGTCTCAATGACATTCGAGCAGAAATGGAATATCCTTTTGACGAACCACAGAAATCATTTTGCATGTACTGTGAAAAAGGGATTTGTGGGTGATTTTGTGAACCATTATTAGAATTCTTGTCTGCCGGCCCAATTTGTATCCATTTATTTATATTAGAACTTCACGATGATGCTGTCCTTGAGATTCATGTTGAAGAATTGTCAGACTGTCCTGATGATTTACACAGACTGTATTGAAATCCACACGATGGCTTGCTGCATTATAGGTTTACTCTGCTCAACGGTCTTGAATAGACAAGAGCCTAAGGCAGTATTCCTCATGGATAAGGATTTTTGGGGGGAAAAGTTCAGTGAGTTCATATGTGACTATAGGTAATATACTTTTTCAGTTTATTAAATGGTACTCCAGTGATTTAGAGATATCATTCAATTCAAATAGATGTCTTATTCTCAATCCAAATATTTTGGTTCCTTAGCGGGGGAAAAAAGTTTAGATGTGATAGGGTCTGACTATAACAAGGATGCTAGAGTAGAAGCATTTGAGTCAAATACAACTAGAATATAATCTTCCTATGGCAATGATTTTATACAAAATGATTTTAGATCTAAAAGATGGTTGTCATAGCATTGCTGGCCATTTGTTTCACACCCATTAAATTTCTTACTTATGGGTTCTGGGGAAATTGGGAAATACTTCAGAACGAAAATGACCTTTGAGCTGGACTTTTTCTCTATAACGTCTTCTTCCATCTTCCTCCTCACTCTACAGTGCTTTGCTTGCATCTGCCTTATTTGTATACACTTCTTTGTGCCTATGAGATGGAGGGCACAAGTGTTTCAACTTTTTCCTCCAATGTTCCTATCAAAGCGTCTTACACGAGTACTGGATAAGTGCAATGAATAACAATTTTGTTATTATGAGAGATAATTTCTAGTAATTTCTTATCCTTCATCAGTGACTCTAGCCTACAGTGGTCTCCATAATATTAAATGCTTTTTGTATCAATTAATAAATATCTTGCTTTATATAAATTTCTCTTCATCAGAAAGCTATTTTTGGATCTATTCCGTAGCCATCGAAAGGACCTTATGCGACTTTAACACAACACTCTTACATGGGGTCTAAGAAGTAATCCATCATATACTTAATTCTATTTCAGAGAAAACGTTGACATTTCAGGTTATTTTTAAGATGCTGGATTACATCTCCTCTTCTCCTTTTCTTTTACATCGATTTTTCTAGGTGCTCGCTTTTCTTATAAAAGTGAATCCATTTTTTAAATCTGTTTTCTAGTTTACTAAAAGCATTTAAACTTCTACCACTCTTTTTATATCCTAAGAAAAATATGTTTCAAGTTCCTTATCAAATACTGACATACAAATGAATGCAAACAGTAGTGATTTCATATGTAGTAAGTGTTTCATCTGTATAAAATAAAACTGGTTTTTATGAACTTTTAGCAGCCCACACAATGCTTATTTGCCTTACTATTTTATGTGGGCAGTGAAAAGACAGGAGTATTGGCTTGCATGCATAATATAGGTTCCCATCACAACCACAGGAAGGTCAAGAAAAAAACATTTTCATTAATGGCATTGCTGTTCTAATGGTACCAACTATAAGCTGGAATTTTAAAACATAATGAACAGCTGATCATTTAAACGTTTAATGGTTAAATGGTCTTGGAAATACTCTAAGTCTCTTTCACTTGTTAAAAGATTAAAGTGATCCATAGATTAAACTTCTTTATGGAAATGTTTTAAATACTGGAACATGGAGTTGAAGGTTTAGAAACAGTAATGCAAACAAAATGATATATCAGTGTTTTCAAAACTGAAGCTGCTTTTGTTATGAATGAAACTGTTACCAAGAATCCTTGATTTTTTTCCTTTACTTACTTTCCACTGATATGAATGAAGTGTACCATCTTCTGTATAATATGTTGAAGGACACTGCTGCTGAAAATTACTTATTATCCATTCTACAACATTTTTTGCTCATCAGAAATGATTATTATATCAGGTAAGAGGCTGTTATGAGAGTACAATTTGTATAATTTGAATTGGAGTTTAAAGGAAAATTAACAATATAGTGGGGTCTAGACAGTGTATGCACATATATATATATATATATATATATATATATATGCATGGAGTATAAGAGTTTGACGACTCTAGATAACATTTTTAAAAAGGTGTCAATCTATTTTTAATTGGGCCAGAAGAATATACTTATAAAAACGGGGTATGCCATTTCAGTAGCAATGAACCCAACAGATTTTACTGACCCTATGATGAATTTCTTTTGTGGCACAGAGTAAGCTCTGAAGAGTCTATGGTAAAACTTTTAAGTCCTCGTACTTTTTTTTTTTTTTATGTTCAGTCTACCCTATTCTTCTAGGTCTCTCTCTAGCTGGCTGAAGCCATGTGTAAGATCTGAGCCAACGGACTTGATTGGCTCCTCCTGAATTTCTTACCCACAAAAATGTGAGGGATAATAAGATTATGTTATTGTTTTGAGCCACTAAGTTCTGAGATGATTTTATGAAGCAATAAGTGAAAGGAAATGGGAAATATTATCCTGGCAAGCAATATACACAGGTAAACATAAAGTTCAAATAGTAAAGGAAAAAGAGAAGAGTGGACATCATAGGACATCTAGCAGTATCTGCCACACTTCCCATGAATTTATATAATGTGGTGGTATGGACAATAGAATATAGAGATAGTATCACTATATTGTGATGTGGTAAAAGTGCTTTAACTTTAGTGTGCACAGGGTGTGTGGATGTGGATAATTTTTTGAACCTGGTAGCTGAAGGAAGCCCTCCTTCAGAAGTTTAATAATAATAAAAACAGCAATGATAACATTTGCTATTTAGTAAGCATTTTAAGTCCTTTTATATTTTAATAAGACTATTGTTATTCCTCTTTTATAGTATTATCTAAAAATAGGTGTGATCTTATCTAAGAAAATAATATTACTAATATTTCAGCTTTATACACAGCAATGTAATTCTTCTAAATAAACGAATATAATAATCCATAAAGTCAGAAATTTCAGAGTGTAGTTCTGGGAATATATCTGAAAACCAGAAAATTAGAGAAGGGTTTCTGAATGACTGAAATTATCCATAAGTTGGTGACCATGATCTTATATTTAACTGTTTAAGAGACTCTTAGTTGTTCTTCATACTCTAATATGCATGAAATTCTAGCAACCTAGGTTCTCTGATTTCTCAAACCTTGCTTGATTAAAGGGCAAAGGAAGGCTACCATGGGGTCGGGTACAGTCACAACAAAAATGACAATTCTAAAGTCCATAGAGAACTATTATAGTTCCCTTTATAGTTCAGGCTAGTTGCAATAACTGATGGGCATCATGATGTTACAGAGACATAGAAAAATGTTTAAAATATGCTGGGTTTTTTTAAACAGGAAAGATAGTAATCCAACCAAAATGATTGTTGTTTCCTCAAATAAGTGCTGGCAACTAAAGGGGTACTGTGCCCATGGGTACACAGTTACCTGGGGAAATAATTTGTGTGAAACCATCCATTTCTCAGTAACTTTGAATAAACGAGAAGTTGTTCTAACATGACGTCCTTTTCATCCTGAGAACATCCATGTGAGGTAGATGTGCGACTAGCACTTTTATTCTACCTATGGATAATTAATTTGTCCTGAAAGAGAACCATTGTGTTTTCCCTGTTTACCCAGAGTCGTTGACTAGATTGATTATAATCCAATGTTGTTTACCCTAGATCTGATGATGACTTGAAAAAGACTCAGATGCGTAATACATATTACTATTTATTCTTATCCTTGAGATCAGCCCCATGACAAAAGACATATAAGAGCAATTAGAATATGTTTGCCTTTATTTGCAGACTTTTAGTAGGTTGGCTAGTTATCAGCACACTGATTTTAGGGATGTTTATGTCATAGCTTGTCCATAGTAGTATTTCTTTCTGAATTTTCTCTGTTGAATTTATTAGCTGCTGATAAATACTAAATTTTCCCTGAATTTTAATGCAAAAAGTGCCTTTTAAAAATTTTTGAAGTATGTAAGTGGTCATTTTTAAGGCCAGAATTACCTTGATAGATTACAGAATTAGGAAATGTTTCAAAACCTTTGACACTTTGAACAAATTGAAGCTATCGCCATACATATTTAGTGTGTATGCTTCTACAAAATGGATCTTTTAAAATATGTGTATAAATAGATCTTTGGAGTAGTCTGTAACATAAGTGGCTGAGTCCAGTTTTGTAAAAGCTGTTATAGCTATCTTGAGTAAAAGTGTGGCAGTAAATTCAATACATTGTTTGCCATGTAATGCCAAGGTACTCATTCCTTATTGAAATTGAGAACTTGGAGAGGCTTAGAACCATTTCTGTATCCATAGATGTAGAACTAAAGAGTCATTTGTTTTTATTAACTTTAGGAACAATAGCTTAAGTAAGTAGATAAGGTTGATAAGTATCTTTGAACACAAGCATGAATCCCTGCAAACTAGAGTATTAAGTCACTAAGTGTTCACAGCTGATTATATTACAATGGGTTTTGCACTATAACGTCCAGCCCATCTTTAAGCTTAGGCATATTCCTCTAGAGTGAGTGTAATGGCTAGAAAAGAGTTTTTTAGCCTGCTAGAAAATAACCTAGTTTTCTTTATCATGTAGAATCACTTCTTAAGAAAATTGATTTGTATATGTAGAAAAGGTATTCAAGATTACTTTTCTTTTGCAGGCCACAGTATTACAAAATAGTTGAGGAGTGTGTTTCACAGATAGTGCTGCACTGCAGTGGTATGGACCCAGATTTCAAGTACAGACAAAGATTAGACATTGATTTCACTCATCTGATAGGTATGTGATATAATCCTCAATGTCATTTGATTTTGTTTTCCTCTCTTCTGTCTAATAGACACTTTTTAAGTGTAACTCTCTCACTAAACTTCCTCTATTAATATCTGGTAAGTCATTGTATCTGTGGGTACTCATTTGCTATAATTATTAATTATGATGATCACGAGAGTTCTGCCTCTGTGATTGGAGATACTAATCTATTTGTTAAGTTTCAACACTCTTGAATTCAGTTTAAAGTCAATGCTGAACCAAAAACATTATATTAGGGGTGACTACCTTGCTTTTTAGAAACATGACTCTGAAATGCATTGATTCAATTTATGCTGGTACATTTGTGGTTTTGTAGAAATCACGTGAACAGCAGGGTCTAATTAGTAATGCTATGTTATTAGTGTTCAGGTCTGAGAAAGGAAATACAGGTTGGTTTCAGTAACTTAAGACCTCTTAATTCTATTAAAGTAGATCATTTTATATTTTCATAGAGCTTAGAGCTGGGAAAGAATTTGAGATGATCATGTTCATCTACTTGGATTGTTGTGGAAATGACCTTATATTATCTGAGACTGGTAGCTAGCTACACTTTCTGGAACAGTCTCTGAAGGATGATGTGAAACCTCTCTTGTGAAATATACTACGCCATATGACCTTAGAGTTAAGCAGTTTTATTTATACCTAATCGAAATCACTATTGCTACGATTCAAGCATGAACTCATTTGTCTTTGTCTTTAAAGGTAGGAAACAACAGCTGTTGAATGCCAGTTATATGTTATTCTTCACTCCATAGCCCAGGGAAGGCTCACAGTAATATTCAAAGATGAATTCCTTGTTATTTATCATGTATTATTCTCATCTGATTGTGAAACTAATGCTCACTTATCATAGGCAATCTGGAGACTTATGTAAGTGACAAAATAAACCACCAATTACACTTTTCAAGCTCAGTACATTTCACCATTACTCACTGTTCAGCTCAGTACGTCTTGTTATCTCCATCTTCATCACTCTCTCTCTTGCTCTCACTCTATCTCCCTCCCTCCTGTATTCCTCTTCTATATATCTATATGCTGATTTTTCATGGAGCATTATATTATTAGAATTTTTCAATATTAACCTTCAAAATGTGACTTTGAATGTCTATATAATATTCCATTTTATACAATGTCATAATCATCTTGACCAGTCCTTTCTTATTGTACATACAGATTGTTTTCAGGTTTTTATAATTATAAATGAATTTACTGTGAACATCCTTTATGTAAATATTTGGCTTCTTCTCAATATTTCCTTAGGATTGATTCCCCTGAGGGTGTGAACTTTGGGAGGCCAAATGCTTTTCAGAAAGCTTCTGCCAATGTACCCTGCCCCTGCAATTAATGTGAATGTTGGCCTCACTGCATATTTTTCCCTGAGCTTAATAAAGTCAGTAGCTTATTTCATATTTGTTGAGAGAGTTATAAGGGACTGTTTCCAAACACTTGTATTGGCTTATAATCTATTGTGGACCATAGTTGGTGCATATATGCTACTGTTGATTTTGGCTAGCTCATTCAGTGTTCAGTGGATATTTGTTTTGGGTACTGTGTGCCAGGTACTTAGGATTGTGTACTGTTAATCAAGAGCGCTGGGGTGGGAAGACATGAAGGGATCAGGTGAGAGGGGGTAGTCAGTATCAAAAACCCATTATGACCTCATCCACGTATCATTTCTGTGATTGTGAACAAATCATTTAACTTGTCTAGGCTTCAGTTTCCTCAACTCTAAATTCAGATAAGTCAAATATATGTGTGGTCCTTAATATTTTATGCTCAGATGTCTTGAGTAGCTGATGAAGGCTATGAACCTTTCATTAGAACACACACACACACACACACACACAGATATTAGCTGGTGCTTGAAGAACTTCTAGGAAATCAGTGGATCTCTTAAAATAAAGATCATCTGGACTTGAGGAGCATAGAGTCTCTTTTGATTTCACAGGTCTGTGAGTCTAGTACTTTTTTAATATAAATCAGATCATATCCTGACCTAAATTTCTTCAATGCCTTCCCATTGAAATTTTTATTTTTTTAACATTTTTATTGGAGTGTAATTACTTTACAATGGTGTGTTAGTTTCAGCTGTATAACAAAGTGAATCAGCTATACATATACATATATCCCCATATCCTCTCCCTCTTGCGTCTCCCTCCCACACTCCCTATCCCACCCCTCTAGGTGGTCACAAAGCACCAAGCTGATCTCCCTGTACGATGCGGCTGATTCCCACTATCTGTTTTACATTTGGTAGTGTGTATATGTCAACGCTACTCTCTCACTTCGTCCCAGCTTAACCTCTCTCACTTCGTCCCCCTCCCCATGTGCTCAACTGATTCTCTACCTCTGGGTCTTGATTCCTATCCTGCCCCTAGGTTCGTCAGAACCTTTTTTTTTTTTTTTTTAGATTCCATATATATGTGTTAGCATATGGTATTTATTTTTCTCTTTCTGACTTACTTCACTCTGTATGACAAACTCTAGCTAGGTCCATCCACCTCACTACAAATAACTCAATTTCGTTTCTTTTTATGGCTGAGTAATATTCCATTGTATATATGTTTCACATCTTCTTTATCCATTCATCTGTTGATCGACACTTAGGTTGCTTCCATGATCTGGCTATTGTAAATAGTGCTGCAATGAACATTGTGGTACATGACTCTTTTTGAATTATGGTTTTCTCAGGGCATATGCCCAGTAATGGGATTACTGGGTCATATGGTAGTTTTATTTTTTGTTTTTTAAGGAACCTCCATACTCTTCTCCATACTGGCTGTATCAATTTACATTTCCACCAACAGTGCAAGATGGTTCCCTTTTCTCTACAGCCTCTCCAGCATTTATTTTTTGTAGATTTTTTGAGGATGGCCATTCTGACTGGTGTGAGGTGATATCTCATAGTAGTTTTGATTTGCATTTCCCTAATGATTAGTGATGTTGAGCATACTTTCATGTGTTTGTTGGAAATCTGTATATCTTCTTTAGAGAAATGTCTGTTTGGGTCTTCTGCCCATTTTTGGATTGGGTTGTTTGTTTTTTTGATATTGAGCTGCATGAGCTGCTTGTATATTTTGGAGATTAATCCTTTGTCAGTTGCTTCATTTGCAAATATTTTCTCCCATTCTGGGGGTTGTCTTGTGGTCTTGTTTATGGTTTCCTTTGCTGTGCAAAAGCTTTTAAGTTTCATTAGGTCCCATTTGTTTTTATTTCCATTCCTCTAGGAGGTGGGTCAAAAAGGGTCTTACTATGATTTATGTCATAGAGTGTTCAGCCTATGTTTTCCTCTAAGAGTTGTATAGTGTCTGGCCTTACATTTAAGTCTTTAATCCATTTTGAGTTTATTTTTGTGTATGGTGTTAGGGAGTGTTCTAGTATCATTCTTTTACATGTAGCTGTCCAGTTTTCCCAGCACCACTTATTGAAGAGGCTGTCTTTTCTCCATTGTACGTTCTTGCCTCTTATAATGATAAGGTGATCATATATGTGTGGGTTTATCTCTGGGCTTTCTATCCTGTTCCATTGAGCTATATTTCTCTTTTTGTGCCAATATCATACTGCCTTGATTACTGTAGCTTTGTAGTATAGTCTGAAGTCAGGGAGCCTAATTTCTCCAGCTCCATTTTTCTTTCTCAAGATTCCTTAGGCTATTCAGGGTCTTTTGTGTTTCCATACAAATTGTGAAATTTTTTGTACTAGTTCTGTGAAAAATGCCTTTGGTAGTTTGATACGGATTGCATTGAATCACTGGATTGCTTTGGGTAGTATAGTCATTTTCACAATGTTGATTCTTCCAATCCAAGATCATGGTGTATCTCTCCATCTGTTTATATTCTCTTTAATTTCTTTCATCAGTGTCTTATAGTTTTCTGCCTACAGGTCTTTTGTCTCCTTAGGTAGGTTTATTCCTAGGTATGATATTCTTTTGGTTGCAGTGGTAAATGGGAGTGTTTCCTTAATTTCTCTTTCAGATTTTTCATCATTACTGTATAGGAATGCAAGAGATTTCTGTGCATTAATTTTGTATCCTGCTACTTTACCAAATTCATGGATTACCTCTAGTAGTTTTCTGGTAGCATCTTTAGGATTCTCTATGTATAGTATCATGTCACTTGCAAACAGTGACAGTTTTACTTCTTCTTTTCCAATTTGTATTCCTTTTACTTCTTTGTCTTCTTTGATTGCTGTGGCTAAAAGCTCCAAAACTATGTTGAATAATAGTGGTGAGTGTGGGCAACTTTGTCTGCTTCCTGATCTTAGAGGGAATGGTTTCAGTTTTTCACCATTGAGAATGATGTTAGCTGTGAGTATGTCATATATGGCCTTTATTGTGTCGAAGTAGGTTCCCTCTATGCCTACTTTCAGGAGAGTTTTTATCATAAATGGGTGTCGAATTTTCTCAAAAGCTTTTTCTTCATCTGTTGAGATTATCATATCCTTTTTATCCAGTTTGTTAATATGGTGTATCACGTTGAATGATTTGTGTATATTGAAGAATCCTTGCATTCCTGGGATAAACCCCACCTGATCATGGTGTATGATCCTTTTAATGTGCTGTTGGATTCTGTTTGCTAGTATTTTGTTGAGGATTTTTGCATCTATGTTCATCAGTGATATTGGCCTGTAGTTTTCTTTCTTTGTGACGTCTTTGTCTGGTTTTGGTATCAGAGTGATGGTGACCTCGTAGAATGAGTTTGGGAATGTTCCTCCCTCTGCTATATTTTGGAAGAGTTTGAGAAGGATAGGTGTTAGCTCTTCTCTAAATGTTTGATAGAATTTGCCTGTGAAGCCATCTGGGCCTGGGCTTTTATTTTTGGAAGATTTTTAATCAGAGTTTCAATTTCAGTGCTTGTGATTGGTCCGTTTGTAATTTCTATTTCTTCCTGGTTAAGTATTGGAAGGTTGTGCTCTTTTAAGAATTTGTCCATTTCTTCCAGGTTGTGCATTTTATTCGCATATCATTGCTT